CCTTGCACTTGGGAGGCAGGTGGCGATGGCTCTGAGCTAAATCCCTGGCCCTCCCCAGCCCTTTTTAATTTTTAAATTTTGACACAGGACCTAAATTGCCCAGGCCTGGCTCTAAATTGTGATCCTCCTGCCTCAGCCTCCTGAGTGGTGGGACTGCCAGCTGACAACAGGTGTTTCCAACCTGCACCTGGGCGCGGGCTCACCGAGCTCCACCTCCACCTCCTCCGGCACTGTGGCGCGGTAGAAGAAGAGCGCGGAGGCGGCCTCCTCGTCGCTCCTGCGGTTGAGGAAGTGCAGGATGAGATCCTCCGCCTCGCCCTCGTTTCGAGTCAGCAGCTCCTCGAAGAGCTGGGGGTCTGAGAGGCCGAAGGCCGCGTACACGCGGTCGCGCATCCAAAGCACCCGCAGGTCGTCCATGGCGCCGCTTCTGCAGAGCAGAGCGCAGAGCCGACTGCAGCGCAGGGGCCAGTGGGCGTCCTTGGCAACGGCGGCCACAGCAACGGGCGCCCAGACAACGGACGAGACTCCACTAGCTCGCGGCTGGCACTGAGCTCAATCTTGACACGCGTTGTGACCCTCGCGAGCCCCCATCCGCCGCTGCAGGTCCACGTTACATTTAAGCAGTGGACCCAAGGGGGCGGTGCCAGCCAGGAAAGGGCGCTGCAGCGTGGGCAAGGGGAGGGCCCTCGGACACGTGGGGACTGCAGAGGGGACAGGCGGCTGGGGTGCGGGACTGGGGTGGAAGGGCGGGATTCTTTGGCTTTCTACCTGGACCAGACACAAGAAAGCAAAGCACACAAGCCTTAAAAATATAGATATATTTATTTGTCATTAGCAAAAGAAGTCCAATACTGATGGGAAAATGCAGATTTGTCTTTCATGCTGTGCAGCGGAGTACTAACTCACTGGCTGTTGCTGCCCTGCAAGGAGGAGCCCAGCCCTCTCCTAACAGAGCCCCATGTTAATCAATGTCCTGACAGGAAAGCTCTCAGCAAGCGCGCATTTCCAGCCTCTTGGATTAAGACTTCAGTACCCTTTCCCGAGACCCGCCAAGTGCCACGCAAGCAAGCCCGCCTTGGACTTCAATAGCAAAAGGTACTGTATCATGAATGTAGAGCACGAGGGAGTCGGAATACCTAATCCACCAACAGCTCAACTACTGCAGACTGGACGGAGACCAGAGAGTGGCTTTGAAATATACTCCTAGCCCGGCAGCGGGTGTGCAAGGCAACCCAGCTGCACAGGAGGCTGAGGCAGGAGGACTCCAAGTTGAGGGCCAGCCTGGGAGACTCAGTGAGATCCTGCCTCAAAACGAAGCCCATCCAGAAATGAGGATGGAGACGTTCAGCATGTGGGGAGCTCTTCCCAAGGTCTGGGGCACAGACGGGCATCCACGGTGCTATTGACAGCAGTGCAGCCCTGCAGTGCCCCCTGCCATGTGCAGGATGGAGTGAGGGTTTCACCCAGGGACGAGCTCAGCCTTTTATCTTTGGGTTCCACACCACGTGGTGGCAAATTTATCTGAAAAGTGTGGCCGCCCTGACCCCGGTCATCAGCCCATCCAGACCATGGCCCATCTTTCCTCTGAAAGTTGCTATCAGGGCAGCAAAACTTGCCTTGCAAATGCTGTGCATAACAGACTAACAGAAGCTGAAAAAATAAAACTGAGCAGCCGCTCTGGGAATGTGATTTGGGACAATCACTTTGTAAAGAAGTGAAACTTCCCCTGGGGTCTAGAAGATGCCCTGATGAACTGTATTTCCAGAGCCCTTTCTCAAGTTAGGGTCATGAATGTTTTATATAATCACATTCTACATAACTGCTACGTAGCTAGGCTGAAAACTGAGCCTTCACTCTCCATTCTGTTCCCTCATTAAATGCTCTAAGTGGAATTCCAAAGTGGACCCCGACAGATACCAGAGAGAGATGCAAGACCCCAGCCAGTCTCTCCCTGATGACGAGTCCTGTGGCTGTGCAGCGAAACCTGGGCTTCCCAGGGACACATCAGCTGCTGCTGCTATCACTCACTGCCACAGATGCTCACACACAGTACGAGGTGACACACGCGGGGACACAGCTGCAGGTGAGAGGCACGGAAGGACGCTGTACAGATCTCACACACATCTGGCGACATGCTTCTCTGGAAACAGAGCTTCTGGTGCAGAAAGCCTTTCAGGACTGTCCGGAACATCACTGTCTCTCAGCTAAGCACAGAGGAGGAAAGCAGGAGCCTCTGCTTGGATCAGAGAGCTGTAAGCGCGGTCACGGCCGAGCCTCGTGCCATGAGCTCCTGTCCCTCAGCAAACAGGGGCCTCCGAAAGACACCCGAGACCTCCTGGGACACAGCACGCCCTGGGGCCCAGCAGTGAAAAGGGACACGCACCAAGCACTGGGGTAGAAACAGGCCCACGTGGGTCACTCTCAAGTTCACCAGCATGAGAATGTGGCAGGCTTCATTTTGAAGACAATGATGTAAAACTGATTAAAATGTGAAACACGAACTTAATTTACAAGGAGGACAGGACCAAAATGTCCAACAGGACCGACTCAAATCCGGGCAACCTGACTGTCAAGTGCAATGGGAAATTTAAGTTCAACTTTATAGATTAATGTCTTCATAAGAATTCATTTTCGGCTGACCTAAATAGTATTTGGAGGTTTAAATTAACCCTACCTTTATAAGACCTTTATTTAGAATTAGTCTAAAAGTAAAAAATCATACTATTCTCAAAGATAAGTATAATCTCTTCATGGTAAAATAATTTATATTTTGCTATAAAAACATATAAACACTTCTTTTTGTCTTTCCTTCACTCAGTAGAAAGCACTCTGCATCCGTAATGCAGCCAGGGCAGCACCACGTTCAGATCCGATCTCTTGTCTTCTGCGGTCTCAAGTCTCAAGGCTCGGTATACAGTCTGTCTTTCCAATTGTACAGTTTTCATCATTGGTTTTATGTGAAGATAAGAGTCTTTAAAAATATACAAGTGGGAAAGCCATTTACTGAATGGTATTTTATCCCACTTTCTTCAATTACCAAAATAAGACAAAAGTGTAGAGATAATTCCCTACTTGTAATTCTAGGTAACACATAATAAATAAAAACTGTTTGCATATTTTAATCAAGCAAAATAAATGTGAATTGTTCAATTTAAAAAACTGCTTAAGGGGGCCACAAGCACAAGGACCCGGGTTCCACCCCTGGTACCAAAAAAAAAAAAAAAAACTGCTTAAGGGCCAGGGATTTAACTCTGGTTCTAGTGTCTGCCTCGCAAGTGCAAGGGCCCGAATTCGATCCCCGGGACCAAAAAAACCTGCTTAACTTCAGCTGTTGGGGAATATTATCTAACAACGTCAAGTGACAGGATAATTCTTTGTATTTTTAATAAGGTTTAAAAGGAATCAAGTATCTAAGACCATTTTCATTTAGCCATTCAAAACTGGCTTCTCTTCCCCAATCCTATATTTTTAAAAATAACTTTAACATGACATTTGGCATTAACTTATCCTGTGTTCATAATAAAAAAAAAAGAAATTTGTGTCTGAAACTCGTAAACTTTACAAAATCTTTAACATGAGGAAGAGGTATGTATCTTACAGAATCATTTGGCTATATCATAAGGCAATCAATGCAGACGGAATTTTTTCCTATCATAAACTTGACAGATGTGAAGTTCTTAACATGATAGCTCTCCATAAATCTGAAAGCTTGTTGGTGACAGCAGTGTTATCACACCACGTCGTCGTTACTGAACTTTGATGCGAGAAGACTGAATGAGAAAGGAACGAATTTGGTGCCTGCACCAACGTAGAATTTGTTCTGAAATTCTACCCTACAAAAAAATTACAAAAAGAACACACATATTAGTGGAAGGCTGAAATAATATCCCTACGTCTGTTCAAACAGTTCTGCTCATGTAGTTTCACCACATTCTCTAGGCACGAATGCTGTCACTGAGACAAATAAACACCCAGTCCATGCCTTCGAAGTCTGTGAGGAGGGCCGGGCACAAGAAATCAGGCCTCCCCTCACAGGGTCATTGCACTGAGGGCGGTACTCGTGGGCGGGGCTGGGGAAGCCCCTGGGTGGGGCAGGAAGGCATTGGTCACAAGGGTTGTACAGGGGCGTGGCCTGGAGGATTCATCCCCTCCCCGCTCCCTCCCTCTCCCAGGTCTCCCACCGCGTCCCTTCTGATCAGAGCCATGGACCCAGACCCATGAGCTCTGGACCTGTGAGCCAGGGTAAACCTCTCCTCCCCCCAAGTATCTTGTCCTAGTGTGTGAAAGTGACTGAGACACAAAGCTGAGACGGCACGGGGATTTAGCTCAGTGGTGCCGCTGCCTGACTTGCAAGCAGAAGGTGCTAAGCTTGATCACCGGTACCAACAAAAACCCAAAAAGTTATGACGGAAGGAGCTAGTCTGCGTCAGGCCTTAGGTTTGGGGTGTGGTGCATACAGCCGGGGAGGATTCTGTTTTCTCCAGCACGGGTACCAAGGCCACACTTCACACTCACCAGTGGAGGCGGATGGCGTGGAGAAAAGCAGAAAGCCCTTCCATGACCAAAAGGATGAAAATCGTGAGAACTGCGAAGACTGCGATGACCAGGAAGAGCAGCAGGACCCCGAAGGTGCTGTCCATGCGGAGGCCCATGCGCATGAGCATGGCCCACAGGACATCAGACAGCTCTGCGAGGGAAGGGGCGGGGGGCACTGTGAAGACCGGCGCCCTCTTACTGCCACTCACAGATGTTCAGAGACGAAAAACAGGTTAAGTCTATTCTTAAAAGATGAGGAGCACGGAGCATTAAAGTGTTTTCTTTTTTAATTTAAAAGAAAAAGAAAAAAGATGCACTCTCCGCCTGCAGATTGCCCCACTGCACACAGCCTGGTACTCCTGTCCCCGAAAGCAGGTGCTGCACAGGCGGCTCACTCTGGACCTGGGCCCAGCAGCAGGGTGGGGTATTCAGCACCCGCCCACCACACTCGGGGCAGAGCCGCGCTCCCCACGCAGCCGGGGCGACTTACGCGCGTGGGCCAGGCTGAGCGCCCAGAGCCGCAGGTAGGACGCGGTGTTGGAGATGCAGCCCAGGCAGTACTCGATGGAGTGGATCGCCTGCGTCATCAGGATTTCCCCGAAATTAAACTGGAGGAAACGCACACGCCTCAGACACGCACCCACGTGCTGCCGCCCGGTGTCCCTGGGCCCAAGGGGAAGGAATGGCTTTGGGATGGAGAAGGTGGGGACAGCGAGGCGTGCCCCGCCCAGGCTGTTTCCCTGATGTGAACTGAGGACTGTGACTGTCACAGCAGCCACCTCCCTAGGGAGCTGGATGAGAGTCCAGCCACCGGAGAAAGCACCGCACATCTGAGGAGGGCAGCGAGCACGTTGCTTCCCAGGTCAGAGCCAGCTGAGTCCAGGCTGGGAGGGAAAGTGCAGAGGTCTGTCTCAGTCTGGACCTAACATGGCCCCAGATATCTCCGTGTGTGGCAGGAGATGGGGCCTGGCTGGAGGTGGCCACTGGGCTGTGATGCGAAGGGTGGAGTCTTGTCCCCGGCCCCTCCCTTCCGCGATGACGTGAGCAGCTGTCCTCCACCAGACCCCTCTGCTGGGCGTTCCAGCCTTGGAACCAGCCAACCATGGACTGAGCCCACCCAAAACTGAGCCAAATAACTCCTCCCGGGGGCTGTGGGTGACGGTCCTGGGTCCCAGCGATGGGAAAGTGACTGAGACTGGGCCCCTGGGACAGTAAGACCCTGGGTGACATGCCACTAAGGTTTATGCCAGCTCCGCTTTCTACTGTCCCATCTGATTAATTACGAACCATCCCAAATCAAAACACTGAGTACATAGTTACACAACGATGAGAAGTTGTGTGGTCCTTCTTAAGGAGGTAAACAGCTTCCAAGAAAATAGGTAGGTCAGGAGAGTACACAAGCTCTGTTGTCTGCCCGGGACCATGCCGCCCTGTCCCGGGGACGCTATTTCTCCTGACCACTCAGAGCTGCTCTGGATTGACTTCTGTCCCCACCAAAATACCTGTGCTTTATCCCTCATTGTCATGACTGGATATGGAGAGGGGCCCTTAAAGAGGGGCTGAGGGTGGGCCCACGGCACTGGTGACCCTGGGGCAAAGCAGCTACCCTAGGACTGCATGCACCAGGAGAGGCCTAGGGGAATCCAGCCTCCAGAGCTCTGAACCAAACCTGGACTGCTTGAGCTATCTATCCAGTGCACGGTGTGCTGTGACAGCAGCCCTCACCACCTTAAGATGACAGTCACTGGCCAGTGATGATCAAGTGTCCCAGCCAGGCCCATTGGGCCCCTGCCTTGGGTCCCCGTGAGGGCAGTGTGCAGTAAGATGCCTTTCCCTCTGGCTGAAGACTGAAGAACTCGAGCCCAGGGCTGCCTGTGACCCTCGTCCCGATTTCGTGGCCAACCAGCTTGGGATCAGAAAGCAAACTCAAGCACAGCCCCTTGGGACTGGAGACTCGGCCAACTCAGACGCAACCTATGTCCCAAAACCAGCTCTACTCTGTCCCAGAGGAGCACTAGGTTCCCCTTTAAAATCAGCGTGACCTGGGGGTTTCGTTCCTGCAACTATGAAAAGGCTCTGGCTGCCCCAGGAGTCTTCCAAAAGCAATGCCCTTGACTCGACTGACCTCCACCATAAACTGCCATGGTGACACTCAATCCCAGAGCAAGGGGAAAGGACAGGAGACAGTGACAACCAGACCCGAGTCACGACACCAGCTGTGTGGCCCCGGGCATGCTAGGAAGCCCGCTAAGCCTGCTGTGTTCTGAGACTGTTTCTCCCAGGATTATTCCGCTGATCCAAGCTCGCTGCAGCAGCAAGTGGAAAGGTTACCTCTTCGCACGTCACTTCTCTGCATCCGTCCTCCACCTGGGCACTCCCCTCCTCGATGTCCTGGTTTCCCAGCAAGGACACTTCTTCCTCGCTGTCTTTCCTCACAAGGGTATAGCCGCTCTAACGAGCAAGAGAGCACGGGGTCAGGGCCCTTCGCTGGTGACAAAACCCAGTGGGTTAGCTTCGTGATTCAGCTCCTTGAGAATAAATAGGTCTCTAAAAGGCGAAAGCTCCTTATGCCCTTATGGGGCTATTACAGGGCAAGGAGAGGAGAAGGGAGGGACAGCTGTTGGCAAGGGTGTGGGAGATGGAAGCCTCCTGCAGTACTGGCGGGAGGGGCAGCCCTGGAGAAAGCATGGCGGCACCTCAGAAGCTGCACGTGGCCTGACCATGTGCCCCACACCCGCATTCCGGGGCATCCCCAGAAGTGAAAGGAGAGAGACCAACAGCTATTTCTGCAGCACCATCCACAGCGGCCAAAAGGTGGGACATGCAGGTGTCCACAAATGCGTGAGTGAATGGAGGCACTGGGCACAACTCCTGTCTGAGTCCCAGAGCCTCATGTGCTCACAGGTGGGGCCTTTGGGAGCAACTGGATCATGGGGGTGTGATGCCGGATTAGTCCACTGACTGGTTCAGCACAGTTCTAGAGGTGGCTGAATGGATTTACTGGTGAGGGAGGCCCCACCCACAGTGTGGATGGCACCATCCAAGAGGCTTGTAGCCTGGATGGGGTAAAAGGGAAAGGAGGGCGGCTGCTTCCTGCCTGCTATGGACTAAACCTCTACACAGTGTGAGCTAATGACCCTGTCCTCCTTTAACTTGTGAGTATTGAGTACTGTGTCTCACTGATAAGAAAGTAAGACAGCAGCATATCCATCTAAAGGAATATTATACATCTTTAAAAAGGAAACTGTCACATACGCTGGAACATGGATAACGCTTTCAGACAATACACTGAGTAAAATAAGCCAAAAACAGAAGGAAAAATACACAGTTCTGCCATGTGTGATGCCTAGAATCCCAGTTACTGAGGCCGAGGCAAGAGGTCTGCAAATTTGAGGCCAGCCTGGGCAAGTTAGCAAGACCCTGTCGCAAATTAAATTAAATTAAATTAAAAAGGCTGGGATCAGCTGTAGAGGGCTCTGGATTCAATCTCAAGTACTTTAAAAAAAAGCCAGGCATAGAGGCAGACACCTATAGTCCCAGCACTTGGGAGGCTGGGACAAGAGGATCGCTATGAGTTCGAGGTCAACCTGGGCTGCACAGTGAGACTTTGTGTCAAAAAACAAAAACAAACAAAGGTCCCTAGAGTAGCCCAGCTCCTGGAAGCAGACCATGGGAGGGGCCAAGGCTGGGGAGGAGGGGACCAGGACATCAGTGTTTAACAAGGACAGAGTGTCAGCTCTGAAAAACAAAAACATGTGTAGGGCTGGGTGGTGGGGAGGTGACAGGATCCCACCAAGCCGCGTGCACCAAGAGAGAAACCCCACGTCCATGCACATTTATGCACAGACTAATTTCAGAAGGAAGGAAGAAAGGATACTCAACAAAGGAGACCTGCTCAGAATCAGAAGCAGAACTCGGGGACACTACTGTCTAGATTCCCCACAATTTCCTGTTTCTCATCACGTTATTTAAATAAGAAACACTTCACACACAGGAATCAAGAGGTGAGAATTTGGGGAAAGCTGCGCTGAAAGGCATGCCGTCCTCCTCATGGCCTCTGCCAAGAGTGGGGTCGGGGCTGCACCCTCTGGACCCAGGGCCCTGGCCCAAGTGTCCCCAGATGGGCGACTAAGGGAGGCTTTGGCTCTGCACCAGCACCCTGGGGGGTGCTTTCCACTCTGGTCCTTGCTTAACTGAAAGCAGACCTGTAGCTGGACGTGGTGGCGCATACCTGTTACCCGAGCATGGGGAGGCTGAGGCAGTAGGATCACCCCCTGGTCAAGGACAGCCTGGGCCACATAGTATCCAAGGCAACCTGGACTACACAGTAAGGCCCTGTCTGAAAGGACCAAAGCCAGGGCCGGAGATTTAGCTTAGTAGTTCCGCCGCATGCCTCGTAAGCCCAAGGTCCCAAATTCAATCCCTGGTACCAAAAACAAAACAAAACAAAACAGAAAAGCAGATCTGACTCACAACACGTGGCCACGTCCCTCACCTGGTTCACACCAAAGCACCCGCGGCCGTGGTGCAGCCACAGCAGGAAGAGCGGCTTTCCCAAGAAGAGGACGGGTACAGACAGTGCGGTGACGGCCAGCAGCACCCTCTGGATGTACGCCTGGGGCACAGAAGACCAGAGGGTACGGAGCAGCATCAGCATGGGCCACACAGGAGAGGTGCGCAGGGCCGCCGGGCAGGGAGTGCCAGCAGGTGGACCTTTCACTCCTTCCCAGCTCTGACCCAGCACTCCAACTACCACTAGCATTAACGATTCCATAAAAGAATCAGGAAAATTCTAAGCGCAGCTGAACTCTAGCTAACGATTTTCTGAAAACAGTGTAAATGGGAACTAGAAACCGAAGGGAGGAAGACAACAAGTTCAACCCCAGCCCGGGCAGCTCAGGGACTCAGCAAGACTCTGTCTCAAAAGAAAACATCAGAAGGGCTGCACAGGCTATGAGTTCAATCCCCAGGGCCGCAAAAAGCACCAGCAGGGGCAAGGGTGCAGGCCCCGATAAGCACGGCTTCGCGTGCACCCAGGTTCCATCCTAGCGCCTTCCGCCCCCACACAGCCACGCGGAGTGTGCGGATTTAGGTGAAAGTGAACACACAGCATGCTGTCTGGCACTATGGCTGCCTTTGCTAAATCAGGCTCCCAGCTTTGCCAGGCTGCCCGAGTACAGTCTGTGCTGTCCCAGCCCCACCAATACCTCCTGAAATGCCAGGAGAGGCTGGAGCCCTGGGCTGTGGGGTCTGGAAGACCTGGGTTCAAATCCTGCCCCGCTGGCTCCTGCATCACTGGTCTCCCTAGGCCACAGGCTGTCAGCCCAACAATGGCCACCAGCCTTCTCATGGGGTGCGGTAAGGACAGAAGGGAGGTCACCGGAAGCGCTGGGTGCCTGGTAAAAGCAGCCTCTGCTCAGATCCTCCTGACTGCAGTGCCCCAGCCCCACTGCACTTATATTCACCTGGACCTGTGTCCTTCTAAATTTCCAATGAAATGATGATTTTGTGAAGTCATGAACAAGAAAAAAAAAAAATAAAAGCAGAAACCCAAAAAGTTCAAAAATAATTATAAACCAGGAATGTTGGTGCACACCTGAAATCCCAGCCCCTCGGGAGGCTGAGGCAGGAGGCTCACAAGTTCAAGCCCAGGCAGGGCAAATTTAGTGAAACCTGGTCTCAAAATCAAACAAAAGGGCCAAGGGATGTCGTAGCCCCGAGGTTCAATCTATAGCACCAAAAGAAAAAAGGAAGGTAGCCAAGAATTATAACCCTGCTTGTGAACAAGGCCCACTGTCCGTGGGCTGGGCTGCGAGTCTGGCAGCCAAGGGAAGGTGCGCGGTAACACACTGGCTCGCGCACAGGCAGAGAGCAAAGGTGCAGCAGGGCCAAGCCGGCGCGGCCCTGGAGCCCCGGCAGGGGGCACAGTGAGCACAAAGCGTCAGACAGGGCAGGAGCCCAGAGCCACCCAACCCCACAGCCGTGGGCGAGGCAGCAGGGCAGCGCAGAGGGAAGGAAGCGGCCCACCTGGCCTGGGTAGAGGCCGCTGGCCTCGCTGGCCGGGAAGAGAAACATGTTGATGAAGTCGATGAGGATGCTGGGCGCCTCCCTGGAGCTGGCGGCCGAGTATGCCAGCCACTTGTAGACGATCATGAAGATGAGGTGCCCGAAGATGCACAGCATGAACAGGAGCTCGGGCACGGACACCAGGCAGATGTTGAACTTCTTCCGGAAGTGCCTGGGGACAGAGCAGGGCCGTTGGCCGAGGAGGCATAGCCACCGAATCCTGAGACCAGAGCTGTGTGAGCACTCCAGGCTGGTCCATAAGGGAGAGACGAGGACAGCACAAATGACTAAGCTCTGCACGGCCAAACCTACCCAACTTCCTTGGTGTCTCTCGATTTTCAATTTTTTTGAGGCAGGGTCTCGCTATGTGGTTCAGGCTGGCCTTGAACTCACTGTGGAGCCCAGGCTGGCCTCAGACTCTCCTGCTTCAGCCTCCCAGGTGCTTGGATTACAGGCGTGCGCCACCACGCCCGGCCAATTTCTTGGTGCCTTTATTGGGTGCCACAAGTCACTGGTAAATCTGGCTTCAAGAAATACTATCTTACATCATGTAAGTTTTTCAAGATTCCAATTATGCTAAGACTTTAAGCTACGTTAATTCTATAAACTATGGTTAAGAGATAAGAATGGATTGGTCTGGTTAGAAAAAAAAGGGTTCAAGGTCCAAATTCTAATATGTTAACTCTCATCAACACAGTGAAAAACTCTCTATTTTTTTTGGCTTCTTCAGTTGCTTGAGACAGGATCTCGCTATGTAGTCCAGGCTGGCCTTGAACTTGCAGTGATCCTTCTGCCTCAGCTTCCCAGGGGCTGGGAATTACAGGTGTGCCCCACTGTACCCGGCACAAATTTTCTAATCATAAAACTGAAGTTTGACAAAATTCATTTCTGGAAATAACTGGCTTTCCATGGAGCACATCTCCCTGCTGGCACATAAACTACACGAAGGCAAGAGGAGGTGCTCAAGAATCCATGTGGAACGAACGATCTGAATGGGAGCTCAGGAACCCAAACAGAAGCAGGCGAAGCACACACGCCGCCCACCAGGAGTCCAAGCAGAGATGAGCCGAGCTTGGTACACACACGCGGCTTTGAAACACTGTACTTACAAGTGGTTAAATATTCCCAGAATGACACCAAATGTCATGTGAATAATTCCTAAGATCACAGACATTTTCATTTTGAAAGAATTCAGGAAGGTGAGGCGATTTGTGGCCAGGTTCCAAATCTAAGACCAAACAAAAGAAAAGTGAAGTATTTTAACGTCCGTCAACAGGCGACGCTGATGAGAGCTGCCATCCGCACAGAGGCCACGCTGAGTCTCGGGACACCACACCGCCCCCACCCCACCTGCGAGCCGGGCGCCCCGCTTAGCAGAAGCAGGGCTTAACAGAAAAGGCGCTGCTGGTCGGGAGCCCGCGGGCCCACCTGTCCCTCTCCGTCCCGCACCCTTCCTCTCACACCACCCTGGGCTGGGTGAGAAGGGCCTCCCTGGCCTCCCTACCCAGCTCTCCAGTAACTCCCATCGCATCACATGCCGTTCATTGACGCCAAACACAGTCTGTACAGCTGGTAACCATAGCCTTTTCACTGAGCTGCGTCCCCTGCCCTTTTTATTTTTGGACAGGGTCTTACTACTTTGCTGAATTCCCCAGGCTGGGCTCCAACTTGTGATCCTCCTGCCTCAGCCTCCCAGAGTGCTGGGATCATAAGTGAACACCACCATCCACCATTTTGAAAATAATGGTTCTTTTTAAATCAAAGTAAGATTTTTAGAAGACGTATTTAGGGCTGGGAACTAGAGGAAAGAAATGGGGCCGCGTGAGCCTTGTTGACTTAGATCAGTCAGTCGCATCAGCATGGCTGGGGAGGAAAAGACAGCAGGGAAGACAGAAAGCCAGGTGCCCCCGGCACTGTAGCCCTGAGAGGCATCTGTAGTCTGCCTGTATGCTACAGCTGAGGCAGGAGGGTCTCCTGGGTGGGTGTGGACAGGCCTTCCACAACTGCTCACTTGTGCACACTGGGAACTGCAGCGATGGCATGGTGTTAACGGGAAAGCAAGACAGCGCCATCCGGGACATTTCCCCTTCTGCCCTGCACACCTCACTCTAGCTCTCTTCCTTGGCTCCTTTAATGAGAAATGTGTCCTTCCTTACTGATCAGCAGTGCATCTGGCTGCAAAGTGCTCTCTAAGGACACTGCTGCGCAAGTCTTTCAAGTGCCCACCATGTGAAGGCTGAAAATGCGACACTGAATCTCACAGACTCTGCTCGTGGTGAGAACGGGGCGGGGCAAACTGCGAGACTGTGGACGCCGGACCGCTCTCCACGGGGCGCTCCCACCCGGCCCTCACTGCGGGCAGCACGACATCTGCGTCACCAGAGAAGCCCGGAGACTGTTGCTGAGGTCTGCTCTGACTGCAGGATGGGGCACCTACAACCCCTGCTATTCGGGAGGATGGAGAGTGGGAGGCCAGCCTGGCAGCTCTGTCTCAGAAGGAAAGAGAGAGAGAAAGAAGGAAGGGAGGGAGCGAAGGAAGGGCTGGAGCTCGAGCTCGAGCTCTGGGGCAGAGGGCCTGCCTGGTGTGTGTTAGGTCCTGGGTCCAACTGGCAAACACAAGGTGCTGAGTTCAATCCTTGGAACCACAGAAAACAAACCAGCGAAGCCGGGCTGGGGTGGCTCTGGGGCACAGCACCTGCCTCGCACACAGGCCAGGGTCTGATCCCAGCACGAGCATTCCCGGGGACCCCACCTGCGAACACCCCGACTCCCACAGCCTCCCAGGCAGCAGCACCGTGGGGACCCGCAGCGCCCTCCCGGCAGCTCCTCAGCACTCAGTGCCCCAAGGGACGGCGACACCTGTGGCTCCAGGACAGGACCCGAGACATCAAGAAGGGCCCAGGCTTCCTGAGGCCTCCGTGCCCGCCCCAGCTCCCCCAGCAGATGGTTTTCAGTCCCAGTGCCATCGACACGTGGACTGGACTGGGGAGACACGCCCAGGGCACACAGTCGGGACACACGCACACACACATGTGCACACGCACAGGTCCTGGTGCCAGAACACCTGCCTCCTCCCTCCTGACACTGAACTGAGCCTCGCAGCCTAGAAAGTGCAGTGACGCCTGTCACGGGACTGACGGCAGCGCACACCACGGGCACACTCACCGGGTCAATCCCAAAAGGGTAAGGGCCTCGGAACACGCCGGGGACACTTGGATCCAGCTGGAGAACCCGGCTGTGCCTCACGACGCTGTCACTGTAACAGAAGGCAGAGGCGGGTGGTCACCGGGCACAGGACGGAGAAGGCAAGGCACTCACCCGGCCCCGGCCCCGGCCCCGACCAGGCCTCACTTCCAGAGAGCCATCTTGCCGCGCTCCTCCACGGCATGGCTGGTGCTGTACATGGCAGACACGTTCCAGCCCGAGCCGAAGAGGTTCACTGACTTGGAGAAGCAGTCGTTGTACACGAGGCCAGTGTAGACCGAGAACAAGCCCATGAGCAGGAGGATGTAGCGGCCGTTGAAGAACATCCTCATGATCTGTGGAGGGCGAGCACCGGCTCAGCGTGCACTCACGTGGGCCTCCACCCCACCTCTCGGGAGCGATCCCAGAACTCAAGAGGCCGAGGCAGGAGGATCGCTAAGAGTTCAAGGTCAGCTGGGGCTACACAGCGAGACAGTGTCTCAAAAAGGAAAAAGAAGAAAACTGCCTAGCAGGACAGACGTCCCCAGCACCCAGAGCTGGCAGGGGCACTGCTCTTCAGGTGGCCCTGCTCACATCCAAGCTCGCCCCTGCACACGCGTCACCTCCTGGGACTGGGCCAGCCTGGGATGATCCTCATTCAGCACCAACAGGAGGGCAAACAGGAACATCACGAAGCCGTGGCCGAAGTCTCCAAACATCACAGCGAACAGAAACGGGAAGGTGATGATGGTGAAGAGAGCTGCAGAGAAGAGGCAGAGACCACGCGCCTGAGCGGCCGCGCCCCACAGCCCCACACCCGGCTCCAATCCTGGTCTCCCTGGTTCTCCGCATGGGGCTGGGACACAACTAGACGGACACGAGCGAAGGGACTGGCACGCGCGGTACCGCACCTGGGTTCACCTCGCGGTAGCTGCCCACGCCATAGGCGTCCACGATGTTCTGGAAGCCCTCGGTGAACTTGTTGGTGCGGATGAGTGTGGGTGGCGTCTCCTTCGTGGGGATCGTGTTCATGAAGGAGGGGATTGTGGCACCGCTCTCTCTCTTTCACACAGAAAAGAAAAACACGGCTGTCCGAGGAACAGTTCCGGGCCAGCGTCCAACAAGCCCTGGACACAGAGCTCCGGTGAGCTGTGTGGCGATGGTGACGTGTGTCCCTGTCGCCATTTGGAGGACAGCAGGAGGGGCCCGGGAGGACAAGGGCTTGGGTGGGCGGCTTCGGGGGCTGTGTTGTCCCACAGGTCTCCCATGGGACAGGCTGGGACAGCAAGCACACGGGACGGTGTGGGCCTGCAGTCACCACTGCAAACCAGAAACAGGACTTTCTCTCTTAGAGGCCATCAGGGAAGAGGAAGCTGGAGACAACCAGAAAGCAGCGAGAAGGAACCGAAGTGCCGAGGCAAACTGGCCAGGACAGCCAGGCCTCATGAACGCATTCCTGCAGCGCGTACTGAGTGGAAAGGACCACCCGACTGCGCCCGATCTTGTCTCTCAGAAGCTACACAGGGTCGAGCCGGGTTAGTACTTGGACGGGAGACGGGAGGCGACAGAAATTACTAAGAAAGAGACCAGCAACCCAACAGGAAATGGGCAAAGGAGACGGGTGGTGCACAAAAGGAGGAAGGCTCGAGCCGGCGGTGTCACCCAAAGGGCCCACAGGTCCTGCCAGGCCTTGGCCTATGCGGAGAGGGCCCGTGGGTGGCGCAGCAAGGTCAGGGGACATCACGGCCTGGCATTTCCAAACCAGAAACCACCTAACTGTCCAAGGGAGCTGGCTACAAGAGCCTGGCACAGGCGCACAGCAGAATGCTGGTTCTTAGGGAAAGTGGAGCTCACACAAAGTGGAAAGAGCAGTGTGAAGGGCACAGCACCTTTTACCTTTCTGTGCAGAGACGGGGAAAGAGAAAGAGCATCTGTTCATATGTGTTTATCTGCGGGTACAGAACTCCAAGATAAAACGGCTATGACAACGCTAGCTTCCAGGGGAGGAGCCGCACAAGCCACCTCCCGGCTCTAACACTAAAAGAGCAACTGTGATCCCAGCGCTCTGCAGGCTGCAAATTCAAGTGCTGTCTGGGCAATTGGACAATTTAGCAAGATCCTGTCTCAGAACAAAGCATCAAAGGGGTGGAGCTCAGTGCAAGGCCGGGGTTCACCCCCACGGCCATTAAAAAGAAACCCACACAGGGCCTCCGGGGGCCAGCGCTCCTGGCCCTGCCTGGCACCTTCTCCATAGCCGCTCAGATCCCGCCCCAGAGCCCCGGGCCTCACCGAGCCCTCTTCCAGCGCCTGGCGCAGAGCCTGCAGGTCAGCCTCGGGGCACCAGACCTCGGCGATGAGGCACTTGTTGGTGACATCGAAGCTGCACATGTTCAGCGTGTGGTAAATGGCCTTCGTCTTCCTCACCTGCACGGCACGGCTGCACACAGACTCGGCGGCCTTGCACAGCACCTGCCTCAGGTAGTCCTCGGTCTTGTGCAGCACCTGGCGGGAGGCGGCTGTGGTCACACAAGGCCCAGGCTCGTCACCCTGTAGGCCTGCTTCCCACCACAGCCCTCCTGCCGAGACCCCAAAGCCACCGCCCACCACCACGAGCCTCGGGGGCAGCAGAAGGATGAGGTGTCCACGGTGCAGGGGAAGTGACGCCCACAGCTCCCTGGGTCCCCAGCAGGTGGGACAACCGGGCGCGACGCTCACAGTGTACAGGTCCTGGATCCGCGTGTTGAGCCCTTCCTGGATCTCCTTGCGCTCCTCAGCCGTGCTGGGGTAGGGGTACACATGGCAGTGGTAACTGGGGGACAGAGACGCAGCTGAGCCCGGGGACTAGAAGAGCGGCTCCAACACAAGCAGCAGAATCGACTGGCGGCCAGGCCCACCTCCTTCCACCGGGCAGAGCAGCCACACAGCAATGCAGGTGCGAAGCGTCGCACCCTCTCCCGGGACCCAAACCTCCACCGCTGCCTGCATGACTCCCGGAAGCTCATGGCCAGCTGCAGCCTTCTCAGTGCACTACCGACACCTCGCATCTGCGCGCTCCCCGCGTCCTACCTCCCCTCCTGGGAGGCACAGGGCACCCAGCGAGGCAGTGTCAGGTGGTGACAGCCAGGCCACACGTGCTGCTGAGAGCCACCACAGCTCACAGGAAATCTGAGCCCATCCTCGAATGACACAAAGCCCTGAGTCCAGGGAAAAGTCAAACCTGGGAATACTATTCACAAGTCTTCACTTTTCTTTTTTTTTTTTTTAATTTGACACAAGGTCCCACAAGTCAATAAATTGCCCAGACTGGGCTCAAACTTGTGATCCTCATGCCGCGATGGCAGTGTGTGTCAGCACGCCCCACTGCCACTTTTAAATATTTTAAGTAATGTCCTCGTCAAGGATGACAAATTCAGCATTTAAGAATTTGGCCTTGAGGCAAAGAAACCATAAAATGGAAGCAGGGCAAGGGGGCCCACACCTATACTCCCAGGCACTTGGGAGGCTGAGGCAGGAGGGTAGCCATGAGTTTGAGGCCAGCCTGGGCTACACGGTGAGACCTGCCTCAGAAAAGCAAAAGAAATAAACCACAGTACGGAAAGTGGCAGGCCGTAGGCCCGCGGCGCTTCTCTGGGAAATGCAGAGGGAAATGCAGGAGGCGGGGGCTCTACACAGAGATCAGCAGACAAGTGGGGCTTCACCAGTCACAGATCTTCTTAACCTTCTGGCCAATCTGCTCTCCCCAGAAGGATATCAGGAATGCATGCCATTTTATGGCTCCTCCCTGCTGGGAACAAAGACAGCCATCAGCTCTATGTGCCTAACTTTTTTCTCCTCTTTTTTGGGGGGAAGGGGTTGACTCAGGGTCTCACTACATAGCTCAGGCTGGCATCAAACTCATAGGGATCCTCCTGCCTCAGCCTTCCAGGTGCTGGGACCACAGGTGAGCCCCGGCACACCCAGGTCTTGACTCAGCAGCTCAAACCCTCAGTTATTCACTAAGCAGTGGACTCTCACCAGCTGCACGTCACCTGCTCGCTACACAAGCCCAAAGCAACACTCTCATGGCACCAGTCCTCTGCAGACTGCAAGACAGGTCGGCACAGGGGCCTCCGCCTCCCGCTTACATCCCGAGCAGCCGACGGTGAGGTTCAGGGCTTCTGTATTTGCTAACTTAGAGCTCAAGGGGAATCTGTTTCATTTTCTGAACCAGGATCCCACTATTCAACCCAGGATGGCCTTGAATTCCCAATCCTCCTGCCTCAGCCTCCTGAGGGCTAGGATCAGCAGTGGGGACCTCCACGCCCAGCTCACAGCATAACTCTGTGAGTAATGACAGCCAAGCGCAGTCACCCATATTCACCAACACAGAGCTCTGTGAAAGCAGAACAGGGGCTGCACACCGCTCGCCTGGGCAGCCCAAGGCTGGCGCTCAGTGCCACACCTGCGAACAGGTGAGGTAATTCCTCACCTCCTTGCCAGGTGCCAGAAGCACAGGGGACAGAACCTCTGCCCGGGAGGGCCAGGGACTCTGCTCAGATGGACAGGGAGAGAACAGGCAAAGGAAAGGCGTGTGTGCCAGGTGGTGAGCAATGCGAAAAGAACAGGGCTAACTCAGGTGCATGTGCATGGCTACCAGCCAGAGCTCTGGGAGGCTGAGGCAGGAAGATCACAAGTTCAAGCCCAGCTTGGGCAACTAAACAACTTTGTGTGACCCTGTCTCAAAATAAAAAATGTTAAAAGGGCCAGGAATGGAGCTCAGTGCAAAGGCCTTGGGTTCAATCAATCCCCAGTACCAGAAAAATAAATAAATAAGGAAAACACAGAGCTCAGCTCAGACGGAGAGGCCAGCACACTGCATCTGGGGACTCGGGGACAGGAACTGAAACCCAGGAGCGTTTCCGGGACAAGGCTGGGCACTCACAGTTTCAGGGTCCTCCAGACTCTCATCCAGCTCTGCGTAGCTCACGATGGTGTACCCCCTGCAGACCCGCCACAGCATTTTCTCAAACGCTTCCACCTTTCCTTGCTGAATTAGGCCGGACACAAACCTGGGAGGCACGGAGACAAGCTACCTTCAGCTGAGGCGGTGGATTTCACCAAACTGCGGGGGAGAATGCGAAGCTTCCACTTCCAGCAAAATGGTGAAGACAGGCTAAAGGCCCCATCTGCAAAGCAGCTCAAATGCCAGATAAAGTGTTTGTGAAACATCCTTTTAAATGTGTAACCAAGGCCTGGTGCAGGGCTACATGCCTGTCATGCCAACTACTTTGGAGGCTGAGGCAAGAGGATTACATGGCTGGGACTAGCCTGGGCAACCTAGCAAGACCTTGTCTCAAAAAATTAAAAATGTCCCAGGGGTTTAACTCAGTGGTTCCACTGCCTGCCTCACAAGCACAAGGTCCCAAGTTCAATCCCTGGTAGCCACCCCCCAAAATTTAAAAAAAAGCCAGCTATGGTAGCACACCTATAATCCCAACACTTGGGAGGCTGAGGCAGGAGGATCACTGCAAGTTCGAGGCCAGCCTGAACTATATAGCAAGACCCTGTCTCAAAAAAACAAACCCCTCCCCCCACAAAAGGTAAATAAAATTTTTAATGTTTAAATTGAATAAAAAATAAATTTAATTTAGAAATAAAGTGGGCTGGAGATGTAGCTCAGTGAGAGAACCTAAGTTCAATCCCCAGAGCTGGAAAAATAAATAAAAAGGGAGCTGCCACTGACCCAGTAATTAAAGCCTCAAGTTAATGTCTCCTGGGGACAGTGACGGGCACTGGGCCCAGGTAAGGGAGGGGACAGAACCGAATCCCCCTAAAGTCAACTCTGTTTTAGTCCTTGTTCAAGATGGAGGGAGAAGCCTTCCCTGAAAACTGACAAACACAGATCAGAACCAGTCAGGCGTGTGGCTGAATTTCACATGACCAATGCTTCTGGTCTCGAAAACCAGACCCAACTAGAAACAGAAAACCACGTGACTGACTCCAGGTGGGCAGCACCCCAGGTATCTGGGGATTGCGAACACCAGTGCTCTCCAGGGGACCCTCAGCATGCGCTCCAGGACGCCTTCAGGGAGGATCTGACTGAGGAAAGGAGTTCATTAAACAAAATCACAAATCACACAGGCAGATAAGCTACAACCAGTCCAAGTTGGCAGACAGAGTCCTGCAAGCACGACTTAAAGATGAACCAGCCCAGGGTGGCCGTGTCTAGTGATTGGGGCCTGGAGCTGCAGGGCCCAGCTCTGCTGACTCTGGAGCAACGCAGTGACAGCAATGCCGCTTCTTTCCAACTCGGGCACCAAGAGCAAGCCTGTCGGGCGCTCGGCCAGGACAGCATCTGCGCAAACAAACCTCACACGCAGCCCACCAGTGCCTCCCCGTCACCTACCCCAGCTTCGCGCCCAGCCTATACATGCAGCTGCAGTCCAGCAAGCACTCGCTCTCCAGGGAAGGGAACTCCTCGTAAGTGGGTTCAAACTAGAAAGAGAAAGGAAACCAAGCTTGTCATTCCAACTGACAATTTCTCATGTCCTCTTCGCACGCAAGTTTACTTTTTATTTGGTACCGCGAATTGAACTCAGGACCTTGCGCTTGCAAGGCAGGCAGCGACGCCACTGAGCTAAATCTCCAGCCCATGCACGCAAGTTTAAAGCATCACAATGAACTACTCAGATCCAGGTGCAAGGGCCACAAGATAGTGTAAATGTGTAACTCAGCCCAATACGAAGTTCCCCATCCTGTCTGCCAGCTGTGTGGGCCTCTACACAGTCACAGCTTCATGCAGGAGAGAACCCAACTGGGCTCCCAAAGGAACCAAGTCATCGCGGGCTGAGGGACAGGCTCCTCCTCCTGTACCGGGTAGGCCGGGCACCCATAATCCAAGACTGCAAAACCCAAAACCCCCGAAAATTGGGATTCTTAATCCGTAGTTTACCCAAATAGTCCCAAATCCAAGAGACTTCAAAACCTAATGCTTCCCAGCAGTTCCCATAAAGGATCGGTGGCCCATATTACACCACATTTCTTTATCTTCATAATTTAGAGATTTTTTTTTTTTTAACTTTCTTACGCTTAACAATTCAGGTAAACTTAACTTTAGGGTTCAACTTCTATTCCATTTTTTCTCAGGATCACAAAAAGATTTTTTTCAACTGCAAGTTAAAGCATCTTAAACATTTGTTTGTTTGTTTGTTTGTTTTGTACTGGGGATCGAACTTGGGACCTTGTGCTTGTGAGGCAGGCGATGGAACCACTGAGCTAAATCCCCAGTCCATAAAGCATCTTAGAAATAAGTATTGTTGGGCCGGGGATTTAGCTCAGCGGTTTGGTGGCCTGCCTTGCAAGTGCAAGGACCCGAGTTCAATCCCTGGTACCAAAAAAAAAAAAAAAAAA